ATATATATATATATATATATATATATATATATATATATATATATATACACTTTTATTAAATGCTGCCATTGCAAGCAGTGAGTGGCCAAGAGCAGAACAGTGAACTTTCAAGCCCTCAACCCCAGAAACTTGAAGGAATTAACTGCATCCTTAAAATGGTTAGTGATTTGACTGATAGAGACTTCCAAAGGAACATCAGGTTTTCACAAACTCATCCTGTCAGCTTCCCAAACTGAGAAAAATGGTATTGATTTTGGCGAATACTACAAACAAAACTGTTCTGCTAGTGACATCTAGAGGAGAGCAGGCAGCTTACTGTCCTTACAGGTCTTAGTAGCAAATTACCTGAATAAAGATGTTTTAGATTAATTTCTTGAAATAAGAAGCAGATATTTGAAAGTTAGGAACATGAGAGTTACATGCTTTGCTAATATATTTACCCTTTGTTTGCTTTTTCTTCATCTTCCACCCAGCAAATATCTACATATTCTTTTAGACCTTCTCCATCCACTTTTCCACAAGTTATTTTGAAGTCTTTCTTGTCTCTTAATGCTTGACGTAGGCTTTCCATTGTCTCTGGTGTTATCTGGACCATTAATCCATCTACAAGAAAATCAATTAAAATCCCCACTTGTCTACAGGAAGAGCAGCAACACTTTATAGTTGTCCTGGCTTAAATATTAGTGGGATCAACCCTCTCCTGCAGCAAGTCCTAACTTGGACTCCATACTAAACTACAGCATTAAATGCTCCATGACAAGAGTCAGGAGTAGTGAAAGCCTTTCTAGTCAGTAGAGCTAAGACTAGTAGAGCAATCTTAGTCAAATGTTAAGTTTCTGGCATATATGTGTTAATGTATGTATTTCATCAATACAGCAATGAACATACTTCTAGATATTGGCAGCTATAAAGGAAATGTTTGCACTGACTAATGTGAAGAGTTAAAACTTATAATGTAATAAAAGCAACAGATAAACTAGCATGCACTTTTATAAAGCACAATTTGTTTGTTACAGGTTTTCTACAATTTACGAAGTCCTGAAAGAGTTTTGCTTAGAGTAGAACAAAGATCCTGCACAAAGCTAATTTTTATTTTTGAAACCACCTGCAGAACAGACACTCAGTACAATTCTTACCTTCAACTATGCTGGATTTAGCTAGAAATTCCGAAGATGTCTTTAAGGCTCCATTGAATACCACAAAACTTGCACCTGTAACTAGAAAAGGTAGGAAAAAAGAGTGACACTAATCACTCAAGTTTGACATTACCATCAAGTCAAATGACTTACATTACCTTTTTAAAATCAAAAATATATTTTAATGTTTTTAATTTAAAAAAAAAACAAAAAAACAAAAAACAGTGCAGAAGAGGTATTACTATGCTTCAAGTGATGATATAAATAAGTCACAAGTTGGTACAAAAAATACTAGACTGTAGCAAAAAACAAAAACAAAAAAAAAAAAAACAACCACCTTTCTCATTTTATGAGTGCATACAGTGTATAAGACACTGAAAGATGGGCACCAGGCACACTGAAAGAGCCCAATATGCAAAAAGGAGACAGTTAAGAGAACTGAGAGGAGAACAGGCAGCTACAAGAGAAAACAGAGTGGTGTTTCAATTTTTTTTTAAACATAAAACATAATGCCACACAACTTTAAATTAAATTTATTTACAAAAGATATTCCTGAAGCTTACAGTGTTAGTAGTGAAACTAAACTAAACTGAAAGGTCATATGGAACTTTAAGCAACCTTGAGTAGAGGGAGACATCCCTGCCCATGGCAAGGAGGTTGGAACTAGAAGATCTTTCAAGATCCCTTCCATCCCAAACCATTCCACACTCCTACGGCTTCTGCTCTAGAAATTGTTCCCCATAAGCACACCAGACAGCTTACCTTTTCGAGGGTGTTCATTAGTGCTGTTTGCTTGCGTATGATAGTGACCTTGTTTATTCTGCACACACACAAAGTGAGAATCTGCTTCAGTATTAAAACTGGCTCCAATGCTAATTACATGGTCATTAGAGGAATTTATCACCTTCATCACCTGCCAATGTAAGATTTGTTATTAAACAGACAGATCTCATTCTGTAGTGCTCGCTTTAAATATAAGACATTAGAAAAATCTAGCAGAATTATTCACTTAATTACAAGAAGTTTCAAGTTGACTAGCTGGAGTCAAATTAAACATGATTGAAAATACTACTTGGAGAGGGAAAAGTCTAAAAACTGCTGGTCAACACAGAATATCAGAGCTGGAGGGATTTTATTGGTCATGAGACATGAGATTAGTATATAATTATATTACTACTCTTATATTACTCAGTTTTTTCGTTAAAGCTCTATTAAACAGATTGCAATAAAAACTATACTGGCTTTTTTAAAAAATAATATTTTAAGTAAAACATAATCCGTAGGAAATACATAGGAGATACTCCTTGGAAATACATGCTAGAACACTTCACTGAAATTGTTCATCTTCCACAGTTAACAGTTATCCTAAAAAATGACTTATTTCCACACATCATCCACTCTAAGAGCACACTGGAGAGCTCAATCAAGTGAAGAAATCACTTGCAGAACTGCACGGACACTGACCAGAGAATAAAAGCACTACTGCCTCCAGGAACTACTACTCCTCCTCTGCCTTCTCCCCCTCCCCATTAATAAAAGAAGTAATGTTAAAGATGTGATGGTATTACATCAAAATAAGATAGAAGCAGTTTGGAATAGTTTAACTTACTTGATTATATTTCCTTAGGGGTATTTTAATACAGCTCCTACCTATTTCCACGTGAACAAACAGGTTGTCTATTGTATGCAAAGTATATTGATAGTTTCTAAGGTCCTGCAATAGACAAAGATAATATGCTAAGACAAAGATGTGAGCAGACAGTTTATTTCCATACATTTTATAATAAATCTTAAAGACTAAGTACTTTGCATCTATCTCCAGGCTTATAAGTCCTTAGAAGTACCTAAAAACTTCTGTTCCACTCCTCTGCTGTGATTCACTGGAAAAGTACCTTAATGGATATATTAAAAAATCTGTAGCATTCATGAAGTGGCTGTACTATTTAACAGTGGCTTACTTCAACTACAGCTACCTTATGCACATTGTGATCTTGTAATGTTTGAGGTAATGTGAAATACTTCAACAGAAAGAGTGGACAAGCCCATTTGGTTTGTTCAGAGAGAGAATTTAGAGAACAGGAGATGGAGGAGAGACTTCATAGCTGTCTATCACTCAATGGAGGAGAGTGGAGAGCGAGGTGTTGATTTCCTCTTTGGTGACCAGTGATAAGTCCAAAATGGATATTAGGAAAAGTTACTCACTAACAGGGGGGCTAGGCCCTGGAATGGGTTTTTCAAGGCAGTGGTTGTAAACAGCTCCAAGACAGCTGTTGTTCAGGAATCACATGAACAATGCCTTAATTCTTAACTTCATGTGGAGCCAGGAGTTAAGACTTGACAATGCTTATCAGTCCTTTCCGGCTCAGGATATTTTATTCTATGATTCTGCAATCTCTTGAGTACTTGAAGTACTGCTTGAGTCTCACACTGTTCATTATACTTCCCTCTGACAGAGGTTACCATCCATCAGCCAGTTCTGCGAATTTCCACATTCTGTTCTGTTCTGGAAGAATGATGATAGATGTAAAATGGTCTCATTTGCCTTTCCTAGGGAATGCCAGGAAGTTTTGTATCAGCAATTGAACCAGGAAATCAGTGTTCTTCCCCAGTCAGCTCAGCTATAGCAAGAGCTATTTATGAACAGGTCTCACTGCACTGCAAGTTTCAATTCAAATGACATTATTTGATGGTATAAAGGGTATTATCACAGATGTGCATGCCTTCACCACTTACCAGCACCTCAGTCACTTCTGTGGTGCTAGATTTTATCATCTTTAACCGAGTTTGAGCCAAGTGTAGTTTAACATATTCTTAACCTCTTGTTAAGCTACATAATGAGAACTTTTTGCAGCCTTTCTACAACAACTAGAAACTCTTGCTACATCAGAAGAAGTAATCTTGCCAAGGAGCATATATTCCCACTGCTTGTTTTGAGCCTGAAGGTGGACCTTGGGCTAAAAAAGGAATGGATATAACATATCAGAGACTAAGGCAAATCCATCTCAATACATTCTTAGCAGCAGCAAGAAGTGCATGCTGATGCATTTAACTACCCATTGGGTGCCTGTCTGTCTTTTGAGGCTGTTCTTCTAGATCTTATTTACTTGTAGCTTAGGCACTTCCTGAATAATACAGAGGTTTAAGCTGATTAAGGAAATCTCCCTCATTTGGTGGTCCCTTCCACCCTCAAGTCCTTCTTCTGACCTCATATTGGTACTGTCCCAACAACAGCGAGGCACGTAGCAGGCTCACAGAATTGAGATTTAAGATTCCTCCATCAAGAAAAAAAAAAAGCTGGCTAATTGCTAGCTTTCCTGTAGTGCAGCTCCGATTCATATCAATTCTCTATGCAGTGACATAAAAATCAACAACAGAAAAAACAGAAGAGTGCCAAAGATTGCTGTTTCCTCTAAGCTGTAATGGTTTTCCAGATTTGAGAGGATTCAGTGATCACGTAAGCATGTGCAATTTTCTCCACAACATTTCCAACACTTTTGCTTACAGCATTAAGGATAAATTCTATGCAAGTATTTGAAGAGAAAGGTTACTGGACAGGAATAGAAGTTTACTAGTTTGTTTTTTCAAATTTAATGAAATACCATTTTAAGACTAGAATTCTTGCACCAAAGCAGTATTTGAAAGAGAAAACTGCAACTGAATGGCAACTGCTACCAGCTTCAGTGTAAATTCCAAAGTTGTTCTCATTATTTAAAACTATTTCTTACAACCAGAAACTGTGCTATAATGAGTATGATGCATAAGACTGCACTAGGTTTATAAGACAAGGCTTTGACAGCAGGGGAGTTGCTAAGAGAACATAACCCAGCAGCTGCACCATGTCTGATCAGATCCAGCTCCAGTCAGCTCCCAAAGGGACCCACTGTAGGCCAGATCTGAGCCTGTCATGATTCTATGTTTTTTTGTTTTTGTTTTTTTGTTTTTGGATTTCAGTATTCCACATCAAAACATCATGTAGTGTACGGGGCATTAAAGTGTCACTGCCCCAATTCCAAGTACCTATCCCTGTACATTACAGCAGTCACGGGATCTGGCCCTTCCGGGTGGGGGGGCGCTCTCTTGCTGCCTGGCAGTGGGTGCTGGAGGTGCTTTCCTGGCTGTTCCAAGCTGTTCAGGTTTGAATCGGTCCCGGGAACTCTCTCTCTCATCTTGCCTGATTTATTAATCTCAATTTCAATTAAATTGTATCTATTGTGTTATCTTGTATTCCAATATTATAGTAAAATAAGTTTTCCTCCATAGATTGTTGCCGCTGCTCTTTTCCTCCCTTCCTTCCTTCCCATTCTTGTGGGACTGGGGTGTGGGGGGAGGGCAGAGGCCTATCGCCCCTGTCACGGACATAGATTGATCTGATCAACTCCGTGACAGAGCCCTAAGCGATACTGGAAGAAGCCAGTGGAGGAGCATGGTTAAGAAATGACCAGGAATGCAGCCCATGGTGGAGCCCACGACTGAACAGACGTATGTGGCCTGGAAAAAGTCACGAAGAGCCCTCACAGGAGCAGGCCCTGGTCCACAGCTGCAGCTGAAGGAGAGTAGCCCATAGTGCAGAAGGGCTAGCGAATCTGCTGCCTGTGGGGACTGTGCTGGAGCAGCTCCTGAAGCATGAGCCTCATAGTAGGGAGCTGAATTGGAACAGTGCTTCAGGGAGCTGCAGCCTGTAGGTAGCCCACACAGGATCAGTTTGAGAAGGACAGCATCCTGTGGGAGGGACATACATAGAGCAGGGGCAGAGAGTAACCATGAAAGAGCATCAGAGATGAAGCATTATGGACTGACTGAAGCCCACACTCCCTGTTCACCTGCATGCCTTGGAAGAAGGTAAAATAGGGTAGATGGGGAGGTTTGCTCTTAGCAAGTTGCCCTTAGTAAGAAATCACCCTGTTAGTGATAGTAAATAAATTTTGCTAGTAATAGGAACATTAACATAATTTATTATGCTGAATTTAATTTGACAATAACCAGTGATTGATTTCCCTGTTCTTATCTCAACACTTGATCCCTCTTTCATTGTATTTTCTCCTTATTTGCAGAGAAAAAGAATGGCTGTGGGGTGTAGCTGCCATCAGGGTAAAGTCACCACACTTCCTTAGCTCACACTTAACACATATTAAAGAAGGGAATTTCCAAGTCACCTCCAAAGAAAAAGTTAATTCTTTAACTTTGCCAAAAGTAATTCAGCTTTAAACAATCTGAGGATATTTTACACAATCTGGATTACAACAGGAAGTGAAATGAATAATTACTCACAACAAGTAGATTCATAATTGTATGTCCTATTTCTCCGAAGAGTGGCTTTCGATGTCTGAAACTTACTAGAGGAGTTGGATATACTGGAATAGAGGAAATAAAGTCACACTTTTAAGTTTTATAGTTGTAAGTATTTATTTTCAGTTATAGACCAAATTTCTTAATTTCAATATCTGAACATTCAAGGGAACTAGAGCCACTGTGATCCTTACTCGCTGACAACCCCTTAGTCCACTGCATGATTTCCCCACCCACAGTTAAATCCTACTGCAATATATCTACTACTCTAGAGTCACTCCCCAAGCAGCAGAAATCTTGTGGCAGAGACCTGCTGCTTCTTTCTCTGTGATTGACCAGCTATGTTTCTTGCAAAGGGTGAGCTGAAAGGAAACAACCTTCGTTCAGTCTCTGTGTCACCAGTTGTGAGAGGAGCTGCAAGGTTGAATACTTTCTTAAACACAAGTACTATACAAGTAACATCCAATTTCATATTAATGTTGTAGAATGAACTGAAGTACCACTTAGCATTAATAAACAAGAATGAAGTGAATGAAGTGGTTCATACAAAGTAATAAGCTTCTAATTGCTTTGCAGTCCCGTGGCTGTAGTAGAAAACATGCAGCTGGAAATTAGGGAAAGCAAAGAGATCAGGAGACCAACACATCAACACACGAAGTCATTTGAAAGTAAAATAAACAGTGCAGCAAAATCAAGATAATGAGATCAGTCCAAGAAAGTGCATGGCTAGTACAAAAACGACAATAAAACTGGTAAGAGAAAAGTATGACAAAGAAGCTACCACCCTTGTCAACTCCCAGGCAGAAGCCTGGAGAGCAGAACTCCACTATTCACTCAAACCCACAAACAATTTAATGATGCATTTTTATAGACCTGATGCTTCTAAAATGGTACTCTTAATTTACCAAAAGTCCATTCAATGTCGGAAAGTTGAGTATGATATTTTTGAAATTCATCCCACTTAAGTAACATCTGCATGTTGCACCCTTTCAAAACTCCTGGTCTCCAAATAAGGGGCAACACAACAGGAAACAAAAAGTTCCTATACCTCTAAATTAGCCTGTGTTATTCAAAAAAGGCACACAAGCAACTTTAGAAGGTATTTAGGATAGCTTCTACTTTCAGGTCTTGTGCGAGTGTTACCTGCTTTTGAAGGCAAGAGGCATTTGTAAATACTTTCCTCCAGTGAGCCTGGAGCAGAGTGAGTGAAGATCTAACTGGGGGAGCAGAAAGTGGTCACGTAAAAGCAGCAAAGAAACTGCTGAACGTGAGGCCTTCTCACTGCACAACCTGCGATATATACACTACATAATTCTCCCCACACCTCACTTTGAGAGAATAACTTCCACATTTTTCAATACTGAGATTTCAAATGCGCTAACTAGTATGTTATCCTTAAGGCAACTATCCATTTAATGAAGCATTAATATTTTGCCCATGTACTCCATTTCTGGCATTGTTTTTTTTGTTTTTTGTTTTTTCAAAATTGACAATTAGGCTGGTGAACTTTCCTTCAAAACTTTCTCCAGTGACAATAGAAGTTAAACTTTTAATTTTTTTAAAGTGTCAGACTTGGTTTTTAAGTCTAACCACCTTCAGCTAACATGAGAAAGAACCAAGTAAGCGCAGCAGAATAGTGTAAATTTTCAGGTGTCTCAACAGGACCAACAGTTCTCATGTACAAAACTCCATCCTTATGCAAGAGTAATGTACAAGACTGCAAACATTTTGAATATTTTCTTTGACTACTAAAGTTATATTTTTCAAAAGGAAGTTTTACATTTATACAGCTATTTGAAGTACTAAAACTTACCCCCATATTCTGCTCCCAGTCTCAACATTAAACGGATTGGAAAAACTTTTGCCCAGGGTATTTCCAGCTTATGGATTAGAATACCACAAAGAAAAGGGTTATCTGGTAGCATTAAATCATCAAGTTTCTGATAAGTAGGTGAAACAAACAGGAATCCTCCATGGTCTTCATTACTGAGAAAATTTTCACTAAAAGTCACATTTTCCATGTTTCTTATTAACTTTCCTGTTGAAAGATGGTGAGAAAGAGTGTTGGCGCATTTTAAAAAGATAACACGCTATTGTGAAGAAAACTACTACCATCATCCCTTCATTACAGACTTGCAAATCATAAAGTATGTCTCATATCTTCCTGAAAATCTGAGAGACATCTAACCCCACAGAAATATCCTACACACTTATTACCTGGATGGACATGAAAATGGAAGTAGACTTTTTTTTTCCCCCAAATATAAAAAACCCTAAAGTACACAATGTTCTGGCACACCTCAGTTGATGAACTTCAATTAACAGACCTCACATTTACATATTTATGTATACTGCAGTTATGTATACCACATACACAATGAAGTCCCAGCCATTGACACAGGGATTTATGCACAGAATCTCCAAGTCCATATGTATTAAGAACAATTACAGAAAATGCAAACTAGATATTTACAGAAGTATTTGAGCCAGAGAAATGTACATTTTCTTTCTGTTGTTTATTTAGAAATAAAGGCTAAGCACTGACAAGTTTTTCAACCAGATCAGATATACCTATAAATGCATAAAAAGCACATAAACTTCTAACTTTGAAGACAAGCAAGAAAACATCACAGCATAGTATCAGACATGATTACATACCTTCTACTGCATTCTTATAGATGTCAGTAAATAATTTGAATATTTCATTAGGAAAAGTCTTCTCATCAGGCAAACACTGCAACAGAACTACAATTTCTGCCTGCCCCAAACCATGTAGCCCGTTTGTTGAGAAGTACCAGCATTTTTCTGAAGAATCTTCAATTAAAAAGACAGAGACCACAGTAATGCTGATCTTTACAATCAGAAAAATAGATTTAATGGAAAAGAAAACACACACTACTTACAAGATATTAACTTGACATTCACAAGCAAGTTTGCATTTAGGATAAAAGTTAATGGACTGGCACCTCCTTTCTCAAGAAGCAAGGCGACCTGTTGGTGTGACAGATTTTCTTCCACTAGGGGATCTAAAGAAATTAATATCTGATTTAGTTCAACATGCCAGCCAACTACTAAAATTAAAAAAAAATCAGATGACAGTATATGAAAGACTGTCCTTACTTTCCTATCTTAAAAGGCTGTTAATTATTTTCAAACTTAGAACAAGTTCAGTAGCTTACCAGAAGATTCAAAGGCCATACAAAAATAAAGCAGTAATTTATAACAAGGCATGATCTGGGGCTGCTATTTATTTGGTAGTTACTCATATTATCTGTGTTGTTTCTTCAATTCACATATTGCTGTTAGTTACAGTGAAAACAATCACTACAACATGGGTTTATGTGATTGTTATTTTCACAATATACTCACATTTCAGTAACTCATGTTTAATTAACGAACAATCTAACATGCAGCACAGGTGAGAAGTTAAAGTTGCATTTCTGTATTAAAATTCACATTTAGAAATCCTGCATCTGGTGACGCAGTACTGACAATCGTTTACCTTTTCCTTTTTCACCCATGGCAAGCAGAAGCGGTGGCAGTTTATCACCATCTGGAAGAAGGCTGACGTTTTTCCGAACACAGTTTTCAACACCACAAAGTGCTCTGTAACTTGTAGGACTAACAGGCGTATCACTTTTAGCCCAATCTGCTATATTAGTTCTAGCCTTCTCAGATTCCGTGGTGGAAGAACACTCTTTAGTGTCTGGAGTCACAGATTTATCACTATCAATCATCTCGCTCTGGCTGGAAATGGTCTGTTGTGCATCCTCTGGAAGAACAGAAGGACATAATCCCTCTGTTCTTGTGATAACATCCATTTCTTCTTTTGGTTTTGAATTTACATCAGTGGGTATGTCATCTTCCTCTGCATTTGCACCCTACGAGAATAAAGAAGATCTATACTCTAGTTTCACAACAAACTATAACTTCTATAACTTCCATGATAGCATTCTAAAAGAAAGAAAAGGGACTAGGAAATCTACCAAATTGACAGGAAATTAAATTATTTATTCAAGAAGTAACTCACCAAATCCACTGTGGACCTTGCATTTCCCCCTGTTCTTAAAGGTCACATTACACCCCATTTAAAGTGAAGATGAATCACTTTTTTATTTGTTTGGTAATACAAAATTCTCAGAATGCTGTAGATCTATCACTTTAGCATATAGCCAGATTTAATGAAATCAACAATAAAGTAGGTATCCCTTGAGCAACCCAATTAGTATTACTGTTTCTTCACTTGGATACAATAGCCAAGTCTAGTATTGTACAATTCAACTCATTTTTGGTTTGCTGTCAAACCTACGCTGCTCCCTCAGTGAAATGCATAGGATAAACGAAGAGTGCAGTCATATTATGAAATGATCTGTCATCAAAACAAAGGTGGATGCGATCTATTAAATATATTGAGTCATCACACTATAAATCCCTGTAGATTTGCACACTATTTCAGCAGGAAAGACTGAATTGTAACAAGATAAAAACATAACAATTCTATGCTTGTCCTGTATTAATTCTCCTCACATGCCCTCAGCTTCCTCAGATCTCCTGCTTAGAGAACACGTGCCAGAAGATGAAGGAAAAAGAAATGTGACTAGAAGAGCCTCTAATAAACTTCTTTCCCACAAATTCACTTGCTGGCTTTGCAGATCACTTTATACTTTTGGCCTTCACAGCAGTCTGAGGCAGCATGCTTGGGATTACATGCTACATGCTACCTAGTAAAAGACATCCACAGCTTAGGAGCTGCAACGTAGCAGTTTTGTCTGAACTCCTAAAGCTGTATATGAGAACCATCAACTCACTGTTTCTTTGTTCATGATGCTTTTAATTTTAGACACTGTTTATCTTCTCTAAGTGAAAATAATCTACTCTTTCATCAAAACAGAAGACAGGTTTTATCTTTGGGTTACTATGATGGGTAGAGCAAGAACTTCTAGGTTTTGGAAACAAGAGGGATACATTTATTGTCACGACAATTCTCCACTTGTGTTTCTGTTCCCTCCAATTTATTTCCTTTTTTAAACAACTACTTAAGTACTTTCTTCAGACTGATCATTGACCTTAAGTCTTCCTTTTCCAGTAACTCAGACAGCAATAAAAGTAACATTAATAAGTTCTGCTACTCATACACTCCTAATTCTGCAATTCGTGGCAAATGACACCTGTCATTTTAACATTCAGTTCATGAATATTCAGAATCTATCTGCCTTCACTGTCTGAGAAATGTTACCATTTTTATTATCTGTGAGTATGATATATAGCACAGTCCAGGACAGGCAACTTCTGTATTCAGTTCTTCACCTCTTTGTTCCTTAAGTTAGCTATTTGACTTATATTTATCATACCTTCATAACAGTAATTATACAAATACTTTACAGAATAATCTTGATTTTTAATATTTTCTACTACGTCATTTTTGAAGTTCATGTATGTCCTAATCAACAGGGAACAAAGTTATTTCAGCAGAATTCATGCATCTACATACAATTTTAATCATACCATATGCAGCTCTGGCACATCAGGGTGTACTGTGTCCTGGGACGACCTCTTTGCTCCAGATGAAAGCTTTGTTGTATATGCCACTTCGCCAGTTGGCAAAATACCATCTGCAAACCAAACTCTCTTCTGTTCTTTGGGGCATAACTCTAGGATAGATTGAGAAAAAACACTGACTTTGTATTACTTTACTGTCCTAATAACTAAAAGAGATGCATATTCAGAGGTCTTTCTCCTGTCAGTTACATAGAGAATTTGTTAACTGAAACTAAGCACAGGTAGACAGCTTGACTCCAGCCACAATCCTATCAGGTAATACATGGAAAAAACAGTTCATCATAGCAGGGGAAGCTGTCATGCTATATCCTATCACTCTACATATCAAAACTTCTTCGTCAACCATCCCCTTGTCATAAGATATAAATAAAATGTTTACCACAACTAGAAGATGAAACACTAAAAAAAAAAAACTAGTCAATGTTTGAAAAACTATTTTCATTGATGAAGGTCAGGTATTTAGTAATAGTGAAACAAACACTGTTCAATGGCTAAACATTTATGTTTACTGAGGATGAACCCCTACTGCTTCTTACTTTTTCCATAAAAAAGTACTTTTGTTTACTGTAAAAAGGCATGACAGATGTCTCCGGAGCAATATAAAAAATTATGAAATTATCTGAACTGAACAAAGAAATTACAGTATAAACATAGAAGAAGGACAATCTCCACTTATGAAATGTGGATGCAAGACAGATGTTGTCAAACTCATGGAGTCTGAACTCAGAATTAAGAGCAAGTTTCTTGAGTCCCAATTCACAGAATTTCTGTTCAATACTGTATAATCAATGGATATCAAGATGTTACAATCACAAAATAAACAAGAGAGTTAGGCAAAGTGGACTATGATAACAAGAGAGAATAAATGGAAGGCTTACCCTTATGCTGGGTTCACCACAAAACACCAGAAGGAGGGATCTCCAGACGAGACCCTTCCCCACTGGCAGCCAGCTCTTGAATAGGTCTAGGAGAGGTGCAGCCAGGCTGCACTCCCTTCCAGCAGCACAGCTGAATTGCCTTCACCTGTGCTCCTCTGGCTGACTCATGGCTCGCCTCAGGTGATCAATCAGAGGTTCAGGCCATGACTCAGCAGTTCCCATACTAATACTATATCCACATAGTACATACCCACAATATAATAAACAACTCTTCCCAAGCAGATCTTGAAAAAATGTTAGTTAAATTATACTGTGTTAAACATACCTTCATTATCAGATTGTTTAAGTGCTGAAATGGGTAATGGTGAAGAAAATAAGGGGCAGCTGGCACTACCACTTATACAGGCTTCCTGCAGAGGTGGAGCAGAAGAATTCTCAGAGACACTGGAATTAGGGGCAGGACCTGTTGGACTCATCATCCTTTCAAATGCCTGTGCTAAATTAAAAAATGAAAAATTGTTTGCTTTAAATGTTTAAACATTAAAGAAAAGCAATAATTTTAGCACACAGTGCAATACTGAGGGTTTTGGGTTTCTTGTTTTTTGGTTTTTTTTTGCAATAACAGTGCATAGTTTAGTGAGCTAGTTGTGTAAATTGAATGCTCAAGCTATTTTATTGATTTTCAATCTGCCATTCAACATGTAGAAGGCTACTGTGGAAGGGTATAAGATGGGGCAAAAATCTGTTTTTGTGGAATCCTGCCACAGATGACCCAATTGAAGCATGGAAGCTTCCCAGAAGGCATGAAAATTAAGATACTAACTGTACATATTATTTTTTTTAAGGATTACTACAGTTATTCAAAAAGATCCAAATCTTTTTTACCTTTATTAATATCATCATAGCAGCGAGTACAGACTCTTGCTTCCTTTTCCATGTACTGTAGTTTGCACTTTCGTTTGCAACAACCACCGCAAAAAACCTGAACAAGAAAAAGATTGAAATAAATATTATAAGCAAAGTCCCAATATTTCCTGAGTTAGGTTTCTATTATATTATTTCATCTAATTAAAATAATAAAGCATACATAAAATATTCTCAGCAGTACTGAAGAAGAAGAGGAGCTTTAGTACGTTTATCTTACAGTATGTTTCTGTGTTGAGAGAAGGGGAATTACCAGAACTAAAAGGGTTTTATCAAGGCCAACAGCTCCACAGTTTGGTCTGAAGCTTTTTGAGTTCTTACCCTGTTTCCCAGAACAGCACACAATCTATCCATGCTACAAATTTTTGAAAAAGGCTACATCCTATCACTTTTCTGAAACACTCAGGAACACTACGCTGTAGCACAGCTCTATAGCATTACCTAGGGTAACCCTCTGGGCACCATGTGTCATCATCATTCTACTCTCAACCAAACATAAACTTGACACTTGTTTGGGGAATCCTTATGATCTGCAGAACTTCCTAAATAATAGGGAAGCCTACCAAGCCATGCTAACACTTGTGACCCTAAGGAAATGCACCAGCTGAAAATCTCTGAAGAACTAAACCAAACTAAACGCCAAAGAGTTGAACCCATTTTTTAAGTGGTTGTTAGTTTTAAAGCACAAGGAAGTTTACTATCACCTTCATGACTGAAGAATTTCAAGTTCAGCATCTGCTGAAATTCTGCACAAAACCTAAAAATGCTACTTTGCGTATTTCCATTAAGACTGCCTCCAAGGAAGGCTGCTGAAAATGCAGTAATATTTTATTTCTTTTCTTCTTTTCTTTTCTGGATTCTTCAATTTACAATTAAGGTAAAACAATATTCCAAGTTATTCTTGGTCTTGTTTAACAAGCCCAAGTATCTTTTCTTAAAAGACAGTATTATTTTGTGTTTTCAAAAGTATTTTATTAAATCCTCAATAGTCCAGAGGGTGTTTATCTTACCAAGAAGGAACATTTCAGTTTGAAATGTTAAAAAAGGATAGACTGTACTAGCTGTTTGTGTCCTTTAAGTAGGAAAAGCCATGCTAAGATTCACATTTGATCAGTGCAAGACAATAAAATAAACATTCCAGTTGCTTCCATATTAATCTCATAACAATTAATGCTTGCATATTAATTATTTATCTCACCTGAAAATGCACATGCTTAGTAAAGTTATTAAGCATGTAACTGGAAAGGATCAATTGCTAATCAGCTGCTGTCAAAATTTAGGGCTTCAAATGCTGAGCAGTACAACAATCCTTTGCCAAGTGCCATTCTCTTACACTTGGTGCCACTAGAACCCTCAACAAAGGCATTACCTCAATCTCAATGCACAAGAAACAAGAGGTGGAAGCAAACTAAGGGACAGTGCAACAATGCAATGGCTATGAAAATGAATCTACTGAGCAACAAAATTAAATCTAGTTGGGCTACAAAGAGAACGTGTGCCACATTAAAAAGCAAACAAATAAACGGAGATGGGAATTTGACCTTGTGTATTGCAGATGGGAGAAGAAGCAGTATTATTGATAGCTTATGCATTCCTCCAACACAGAAGCCAGAATTCCCAAGTTCTGACACTTTCCCTGATAATAATAAATCTATAGGACTACATAAAAATTAAACAATTCTAAGACACTTCACAGAGAACAACTGTGAATTTCTACCTGTTCCTCCTCAAGCTGGTAGCAAACACTGCAACACAATGTGGATCCATGAAAAAAGTAGACTTTGTTTTTAAAAACAAGTAGCAAAACAATATTACACATTCAGAAAAGCAATGACAGTTACAGCTGCTTAGCACTCCGTTATCTCTGACAATTACACCATCTGTACTGCCTTCACTCATTTTCTGAATGCACAAGCATTGTGAAGCACCCTGAATTACTTTGCTATTATGCAAATACACTCTGCTGTTAACACACAGGATTAACAGTAACAGCAGTTAGCTATAAGCAGCATTGAGTACTGGAGGGAGTTTCTATTCCCATCTCCAGAAAACAGGCAATAAGCTTCATAGTGAATATAAACAAGAACTTCAAGAAGTTCAAAACCATACTCTAAAGAACCATATTTTAAACTTTTATAAAATTTTAGTAGGGTATATAACTGCCTAAGTTCGATAACATCTAGCATGTCACAATAAGAACTTCATTTTTCTCAGTGCCCTAGTGCAGATCTACACTTTCTATAGGCCTGCTGTGACAGAAGAAAATGGGGGCTATGCTTTTACTAGAAGAGGGACTCTGCAGAAAAAACAAGCCACTCCAGTTGTCTTTTGAAATGAGATGAAAGAAGCTAGTAAGTCTAGTCTTTGCACCATCTCCTCATCCATAAAGCTGCAGAGGAACACTGAAAAAAAAATCAGTTCCAGTAGCATTATATTTGTATTTATGCACCAGCACACAAGATGCAATAGCTCACAAAGAAATTTATTTTTGATTAAAAACAGACTTCAGCATTATTTACTCACTGCACACAACCATAGGCTGGAAAAATAGAAAAGTCTACAGACTACTTGCTCAGTTAGCCAGTACCATTCACTCAGCGGAAATAGCATACTTCCCTCTGCTCTCCCTGACAACTCCCTTGGGAAACTGTGCAGACATTTAAACACAGTGCACAACAGACTATAAGTCCGTTGCATGGCTGCTTCTGTAACAGCTCCTGAAAGAACATACATTCTTCCAGAGTAATAGATATTTTTTACACCTATCATAATCACTTTTCTGAATTCTAATTACCATCACTGCCTAAATTTTTGATGCCTAAATACTTAAGCTTAATCTAAAGTAATAAACTGATTCAGTGTGCACTGCAGTGATTGTTACAGTGTCACATCTTCCCTGTTACAATAAAAGAACAGTATCCTAGCCAGTAATGGAAGATAAAGTAAAGCGATGCAAGGAAAATGTTCTTATTTTCAAAAAAGAAGGTTTTTTTTACTTATTGTAGTCTTTTCTAAGAGTCCAACACTGATGTAAAATTAAGAAAAAATTAAAACAAAAAAAAACTTACAATGTTGACATAATTCATCTTTCTCCTTTGCATTCCGGTTATCCCTAAATCAGAGTAAATTTGCTTACAGTAACAGAAGGACCCCTCACCAACAACTTACTTTTCCACATGCACGACAGTGGTGTCGTCTTTTTGTAAAGGTGAACTTCACTTGACAGTTCATGCAGTTGGGTGCCTCTGAATCAGGAACCCACAACGGCTGTTTCTGCAGAAGAGCTGCAGGTGTTTTTAGTGATTCTACGCTTTGAAAAGTTTTTCTTGCTTCAGTGCCAATTTCCCCAGCAGGTTCAGAATTTTCGTCAGAAGTAATGCTGTTCCTTGAGAAGGGAGCTTCTGCAGTAACTGCTCTCTCAAGCACATGTGTTTGATTCAGTTGTCTCTGAACATTTCCTTGCGTACTGTCACACAACAGCTTTGGTCTTGCACCTTCATTAGGAATCTTTGAAACCTGTGCCTCACTATCACGCTCAGACACATTTTGAATATGAAATGCACTCTCCTCTGGTGGAGGTTTCAACTTATGGGCCGCAAGACAGACTTCAAGATTGCTACTGATGCTAGTTATATCCTCCAGTTTTGTCAGAGCATGTTCTTCAGTAACCTGTGTGAAATCCAGGTTCTCATCCCCCAGATTCCTTTCTGTGTCAGCTGCCATTAAGTTATTACTATTGCTTAAAGAATTCAATGAACTGGACAGATGACTTTGCCCATACAAGAATTCATCAAGCTCTGCATCACTTACAAGAGTATTACTTTCAATAATACTCTCCTCAACAGTAAAGTTAGCTACAGTTTGGCTCACACTTTCATCATAGTAACAGTCTATATCAATGCCATATGGCTCAGCTTCATATTCCATAAAAGTAGAAGCAATAGCTTTGACTTGATCAGAATCACTATCATCAATTACATTCTCAGTATTACATGTCTCTCCATCACTTTTTTCTACAATAATTTGGTTGATTTTAGTTAGATATCCTTCCTGTTCATGTAAGTCAGTCTCTTTGCAGGACTCACAATCAGAGAGATCAGTTGTTAAAGTGTCACTAATAACCTCTGCTATTTCATCCTGAGGTACAGAATTAACTTTTTCTTCTGTTACAACTGAGGAACCACATGGAGATACAGGAAGTGGTGGAAGATGTAGCAGTGACGTCTGGACATCCTCGACTGATTCACATAAAGGTAAAGCACTGTTTAGTACTTCACTGCCAGCAACTTTTTCACTACCCACATTCTCTTCTGTAATTTGCTCTTCTAGTTCTACTTCAGCCCCTGTTTGACACATAGAGCCTTGTAAAGCATGACTTTCAGGCAATGTTCCATGGCTTTTGTCCAACTGATGTGTATGTGGCAGATTTGAAGGCATGGATTCCATTTTACACTGATCTTCCAAGGTCACACATTCTGCAGTATTTCCTCCATGTGTCTCTTCACTCACTGGAGAGCACATGCTTCCATCTTGTGGCTCAGAAGGCAATTTTTCACAAGCTGTCTCATCTCTGGGATCATACACTTTTGAATTCTGTAATGTTTCAGAGACACACGCAGTATTAGGGTGAGCGGTTTGTTCAAGATGATCAAATACTTCAATATAGGATTGTATATTTAAACTGAAGTGATAATCACACAGACCTGAAACCTCTGCTTTACCAAAAACATCTGATTTTAAAGCTAACTGATTACTCTCTTCTGTTTTAACAGGTCCTGAAAGTTGTAGCATTGAGTCCCCATCATTCTGCTCTGTACATGAAATACCTCTGCAACCCAATGAAAATACAAATCAAGGAGAGGTATGCAAGATTTGCCAAAGCCACTCAAAGTCTTCACTAGAATAAGAGTCACCTGGCTGCAATTTTTGATTATTTACATTAGTACCTGCTGAATGGATCAAGTTACTTATGTCATTAACAAGATCACACATAGGTATACTACTTCCCAGGTTTGAACCCTGACTTCCTTCTGAGGAAGCACTGTTCACAATGGTCAAAATATCAGGCCCAGAAACACTCCTCTCATTTTGTGATGAACAATTCGGAATCCCTTCATTTGGTCTGGTGTGGCTGGCTTGAGAGATTTCTTCTGACGCGGGACAGCTGTTAGCATTCTCCTGTGGTTTTTGCGTTGGGTATACATGTTGCAAGAAACCCAAATCCAGAGGAAGGGAACGGTGTTTTGAATCATATGGATTTTGAGGAGCTCTGGAGAGGTCGCATTCATCTATTTTAAGCAAAAAAGAGATCAAAAGCAAAGTTTACAAGACTTAAGTGTTTCTACTGTGCATGTCCTCCAAATTTAATCTATTCACTACCATAAGCTTTAACTTACCATTTATTAGTTTCAAATTCCCCCTAACAGTCTCTCAACCAATATTAACACACTGCAGTAGAAGGCAGCACAGTTACTAACCTGTATTCAGTTCAAATTCATCCAGTAGTTTGTCCAAGTCACAGACTGCAGCTTTAAAGTATGTATCCATTCTATTTAAGTTCTAGTCTGGCTTTAGGCCTCTCAAACCTAAAAAGAAAAATGCAATGATTCACTCATATTTTGCTACTCACAAAGTGTTTCCATTATTAGACAATAACTTTCAGGAAGTATTTTAATGAAAACTTTCTGTCTATAAAATAAAATATTATGCAGATGACTGCAGTCCATCAGCCTCTATGTACCTCATGCTCAATGACTTGCATTTAAATCCTCTTAATTTTGCCTTCAAGACCAGGAAAAAAAAAAAAACAGCATGGTAATTTAGTTCATCTCCACCCTACTCAGAACACAAAACCCATTAACCTTCTATGAGACCTGCAAAAAAGCATTTAGAAAGAAAGAAGTTTCATTTTAGATACCTGGCAACTCACCAGAAAGCAATTTGCAATGCATGGTCTGTATCACAAAACAGTGTTCCATTTGTTTATGAAGACTTTCAGTCTCCAGATGTTATGCCTTCTTGATCACTTTGAGAAGCTTCCTAATCCTACATCCTTTTCATGTCTGAATACCCATAACACGCAGTTACCTGTCATATAATCAAGATGCTATCTAACTTACCGGAAAGTAATGTGAAGGGATTCAGATCTCTTTAGTTCTTGTGTCTGGAAACCAGACCTCTGAAGGTCTGCCTTGTTTTCCTGCTACTCAGGGAGATGCTAAAACAGCTCATGCTAAAATAGCTTATATATTATTAAAAGAAAAACTGCAGATCTCATCCTTACAGCACGTGCTTATGGACACTAACAAAACTGATGGTCAAAAGTTACTAAAAGAGATTATATAAAGTACAAATACTGAAGGTTTATGAGAAAACAGAGGTTTAAGAAATACATAACTCTGAGCTTTTCTCTGTGGGGATTTCTTGCACATCCTTAACATTCAGGTGCAACTTCTTTTCAGCTAATGGAGTAGCACCCATGACTAAAAGAAGCAGTCACAGAACATTCTCCCCTCTTCCATCTCCCCAAAACTACTACAGCAATAGGGAAACAAGCAGTAATTCCCTCTTATCCATCTCTCATCTTTCTGTTCTCAATCTTGTATACGTATTATCATCATTAAACTAAAATCCTGCTCATTTGATATAACGTTTCAGGAATCAGATCACCTTATATTTTAGGCTCAGCAATAGTTGCCTGCAGCCAATCCCAGCATTAACATTAAAACAGGAGTGAATTGGAAGCCATGAAGAAGTTCTGGTCATACAGTTCTGCTAAATGTCTGTTTGCTTCCTTGAGCAAAAACAAGCTGTTGAAGCTGTTTGTTTCATCAAATTGCACTCACTCTGAAAGTAACGTAAGAGTTTCAAGAATTCTACCATCTGAAACTAGCAGCAGTGTCACCATATTTTTAAAAATACATAGCAATTTCTGTAAAAGCCCCACCCCATACCTAAAAGAAAACAAGCAACTAAGAAGTTTTATATGGGCAGGGAAAGCGCAAGAGCACACAGGAAGGAGACTACTGGGTGTGGAAGCAGTGACTGCAGTTGTTTACACACAGAGATCTTTGCACTGCAACTTTTAGAGGAACTGTTCCACAACTTGCCCTTTTAACATTCCTTACATCATGTGAGTTTTGATTTGTCCAGTTACACTGAGCAGGAAGCAACAACAACTTTTTTTTTCCTTAGTTTTCATTGAGATGAGGCCTTTGTATAAACATAACAACTGAATGCCAGCACACCAGAAGAAAAAGCAGATAAGGAGCAAAGCATCCCCACCAGGCAGAAAAACAGGGAAGCCTGATCTGTGCACCTGAGACACCTTCAGGATTTGAATCAATCCCTTACTTGCTGCTGCCACCTTCCAAGGGTTGAAAGGCATGAACCTTCTGCTAGAGGCTGTTTTCCAAACACGCTTTCTAGTTATCTGAATCCTGTCCCAGTACTGTCTCCAAGTGGATTATAGATTATTAAAATATGGTCTGTGAGATCTTAAATCCTTCACAGTAAGGCACACAACTTGAGATTCCTATTGGCTCAATTTCATATGATTCTTTCAAAGTAGAAAGCCTTAAGTTTTAAGCAGTGGTTAAATCACTATCTGCCAAAGACTGTATGCTTCCATCCTAAAATAAATATTTATATGCTAGGGGACTGGGAGATTGTGTACCGGTCCCTTTCAAAAACAGAAGAAAATAACTAAAGCATAAAACAACTACAGCACAGTGTTAACGGCTACTTTCTAACACAGTAGAAGTCATTTTAAAGGGGAAGACCTCAGAAAGCTTTTTTTTCCACAAAGACATTTCAGACTGGGGAAGGTAGTTATTGCTAAACTGGGTGACTCAGTTTACAGACCAGCTCTGGAGACTTTCACAGATGGAAGTACTAAACTGAGCTAAAAAGGCCTGTTATTTCTTTTAGACATTTTACTCTCTGCCTTATGACTAAGCTACAAGGCGTGATAGCAAATGAAGCGTTGAGGTGCTTACTTCTTTAGACAGAAATACACAAAAGATGGTTTTCAAATATTAAAGGACAGAAATAAGACACAATCTAAATATTTTGAATTATTACAAGTCATTAGCTCTCATCTCACAGTTTGGTCTTATTTATGTCTCACTTAATGGATATTTAATTTCATTAAAGAACAGAGCACACCTATCACTAGGACTTACAAGTACGTGAGTTGGCAAAATTCCATATTTACCAGTTAACAGCCTTTATTTTGCTGATAGAACATCACCAAGCTTCAATATTTTTCATTACTTTATTACAAAAAGGCACATCGGACTACTTTTTCACTTCCCTAAGTAAGCACTTGGTTTGTTTTTAAGCAAGTTCACTCCACATCTCCCATTCTCATGTTAAGCTTACAGTTTTGACATTCTTGGCCAACCCCATAAGGGCTTTTATAGTTGCAAACAGGTGATGTCTGCCTGCCAGCACCCCCCGCGCTTTCACTGAACAGTTTCAACAGTTTCTCACTCCTAAAGGAACTTTTCCTTATAGCCTAACCTTATGGGCTCCCCATCCCCAGAGGGATATTTAACATAGTTTTGGTTGAGAGTCGAGTACAACAGTCAGACATGCTTACTATGTTGTTCTTAGAGATTATCATGCTAAGGGGTTTTAACTTAATATTCATTTCACAGATTAATGAAGCAAAAGTTCTTACTCTAGGTGCTGTGACTTTCAAGAGTCCATGCTGAAACGTTAACTGCTCACTCCCACAGCTGTTAGCCAAAACAGGACCGTGGCTGTCACAAAACTGCCTCCTTCATCTTGCTTTTATACCAACCTTGCAGATATCCATCCCCAAGCTTTACAAGAGAAAAGCTAATGCTTGCATTTCTAAACACCTAATGAGCAAACCCCACAGTCATGTTTACAGTACAAATGCTCTTTCCTATCTTACCCATGCTGATTAAGAAGAAATCTAACAATGAAACTGTTATGTAGTAGTCATCAATCACAGTGAACTCTGTATTCCAAACGCCAGCAGAACAGCAGTAGTCCCAGGATGGACTCTGAACAGTTAAGTGTGTAGCACAAGTACATCAGCACCTGGTCTGACACCCTTCTTTGCGTACTGAGGCTGGGCACAAAGCAAGCCTAAACAGAACAAATGGGATTGGTGAAAGCTTGCTTACTTTATTTTCCCCATCAGATGAGGCTTGGTTACTGGCTAACTCCTAACACTGCACTTTATACTGGACCCTACCTTAAGAAACAGAGGCAATAATTTTACTGGAAAAGTTACCTACAAAAAGCAAATGTTGTGATTTAGACGACCATGTAACATGCCTGAGTGTGTCCATAGACTTAAAAAAAAAACAAAAACAACAAAAACACTTTATAAGCAACTTTATATAAACTTCATAAACAATTTCTAAAGGATACATATACTAAGATTCAAAAAATACTTTGTTAGGGACCTCTCAATGCAGTCTTATTAAAATAAGAAGACATTACAAATTTGCTAGGATAGAGAACAGCCAAGCATCAAACTATATTGTAGACTGCCATTTTTTAAAATCAAACACAGTATCTCTAAATGCAGGTAATTTGTAGTTTTCAGTAAGAACTTGCAAAATGGTCAAATTCATCATGATTTGCTAAGCAGTTGTATGTCTAACAACAAGCAGATTTCTGATGTTTAAAAATCCCTGAAAAACAACCTCTAGTGCTTGATATATATATCCATTACCAGATATCAATCTAGTCACAAACAAACATCATCAAAGAATCCAGGCCTGTATTTGTAGGGAGCATGTTGGAACAAAGATTGGATATGGAAGCAAAGAAACACAAGTGAATGTACAGTTCCTCAAGTCTAAAAACTAGCTTAATATTAGGACAGTTATTGTGGTCATCTGGAGAAACTTTTGTATCATCACAATGATACATTATTTCAATTCACTACCTTTACAGGAATTAGAAAAATGTAGACCCTTGCAGCCAGAAACAATACCACCACCAACCAACCAACAAAAGCCATACAACCAACCAATAAAAGCCATAAAAAGACCACCAAAGCCTGGGTGTACAGATACCCATGGAGTTCACCAGCAATCAACAAAGAGCGAAAAATGAGAAATAATTAAGTGCTGTCAGACAAAAATAATAATAAAAAGATATAATATTCTTGCTGAGCAATGCTATACATTATTGAACCATAAAAGCACAGCAGCTGCTGCCACTGCAAACCTACTTGCTGAATAAGGGGATGAATATGAAATTTTTGAATATGAAAGTTTTCAGACACCTAACAAAAACTTACACTGCGTGATGCAAAACACTAAACTGCCTCACCTAAAGATGGATGTTGCTGAAACACAATTTCAACAATACAAAAGGTCACCAGCGTTGTGATTTTATCACCAACCCGATCAGACTACTTATGTTGACAACATACTCACCCTCACTAGAATTTCCTTCCACTTTAATGGCACACACTATCACTCTTCTGACCAGAAAAAAGCACCAATCACACCACAAATAGATGTTAGACAGCAATTAATGACTATCAGCACCACTCCAGAACATCACCAGTACCAACAAAAACAGGCCCAATGGCTGAAGAACCCATTCCAAAAAAAATCACAGAACTGCTTGAGTTGACAGGAACCTTTAAAGGTCTAGTCCAACCCCCCCTTGCTCACCTGAACAGACAAACTGCACACAGTGCCACCACTACTGGAAGTATCAGCTTGTAATGCTCAGCCTTGGGAAACAAGTCACGGGAACATGACTATTTGATCAGGTCTGAAAGAACTTCTCAGACAATAGAGACCAGTGATCTCTTAACTTTCTCATCTTCTCTGATCTGCATTATTAATGATCAGACATTCATATTGGACAAACTAAGCAGTACAGCATCAGACACTAACAGCATCTGGTTCTGGCAGCCAACTGAACCCTTTCCTGTGCACAAGTCATTTCTTCAGGGCATACCAAGAAACAGCTTTCTGCCACTGCAGTCTGTATCCGAATACAGACAGGGCTACCCATACGCTCCAGTTCATCCAGCACATCGTACTTAACTTGAGCAGCTCAAGCACGTCCATTAAACTCTGCATCAGACAGCGATGCCAACTGAAAAGAAGAAGTAAAAAGATCGTCAATGTCTGCAAATCGCTACGAGCACCGCGTCTGCCCTAAGCTGTACATTCACCACGTCGTTTTCGCTTCGTTCCGGAACGACCGTGTGCAGCACTTCCACGGCCGTTACGGAGATGAGCCCCTGAGGCACGCCGCCCCAAGGCACCCAGAGCCGCAGCGCCGCGCGAGGCCCAACTCAGACGGCCGCCTCGGGTCGGGAGGAAGCGGGGCTGCCTCACAGAGCGCAGCTCACGGCGGAAGGCCTCAGAACAGCGCCGTGCGTGGATCCCGCAGCTGTCCTCCGCCCCGGGCCGCTCCCCGGCAGGGCGACTGTCCACTACCACCACCACCACCACCTCCTCCTCCCTCTTTACCGTCCCGGCACAGCAGCAAAGATAACCGCCCCTCCCCCGGCGCTCACCTCACGAGTAGCCCAAACCCCGCCCGGCTCCGGGACGGCGCCCCGATTCCCTGCGCGCCCTGCGGCACATGCGCAGCGGCAGCCCCCGCGAGGGCGGGAACCCGCCGACTCTGCACGTGCGCAAGACGACCGTACGCTGACGCGCGCGCAGAGCCGCCCGCCTGCCACAGAGGGCTCCTCCGCAGCCGGTTGTGTGAGCGGGGGAGCTCGCAGACGTGTCCACAAAATCTTTTTTTTTTTTTTTCCTTGAAAAAATAATTTATTCCGGCTGACACTTAGATCGAGATCACCACAGTTTCGCGTGCTTTCCCACACAGATCCCTTTCCTCTTGAGGTGCAGCCTCACAGGGCCAGGAGTGTGATTTTCGAAGCTGTCTAACCGAGTTCTGGAACCCGTTTCCACTGCAGGAAAGGCTGCTTGGAGAAGCCAGGTCGCAGCACGACGCCAATCCCAGTGCTGCTGGCCCAGAGGGCTGCTCGGCTTTGCCTCCGTGCCCAGTGGGAGGCTGGCCTTGCGTCAGCTGTGCTGCCTCCTTCAGCTCCATTGCACGAGCTAGCATGTAGCTGACCTTCCTCTGGTGAGCCAGGGCCTCCTCTTTGTCATTTACCTGCAGTTGGCCACAGAAAGAGAAGAAAGAAGCTGTGAGCTGAGAGCAAGGGAGTCCATGTATCACAGAATCACAGAATCGCCAAGGTTGAAAAAGACCTTCAAGATCATCCAGTCCAACCATCCACCTATCACCAATAGTACTCATTAAAACATGTCTCTCAACACAAAATACAAAATCCAAACGTTCCATGTAAATGTAAATGATAGAGTATCTTGCATTGGAAGGGACTCATGAGGATCACCACATCCAGCATATGAAAATATCAGAAAAACAATGTCAGAATGATGTCAAGGCTCCTTAGGCATGTCAGCAAACCCAGAGTTTGACAGCAACCAAAAATGACAGTAACCTGTCAGTCCAGACCTCTTAACAGCAATAGTGATGCTGGCATAGGAAGCTGTGTTTTCACAGGTACAGGCAAATGTGTATCCATGCAAGATTCCTTGTCTTGTTTTTACCTCGTTTTATTATTAACAAAAACAATGTAGTTCAGTTTGTTCTCCCAGAATCTAGTTTAAGAAGTAATACTAACCAAATCTATTAACATCTTCAGGATTTCATGAGGGTTGTCTAGTTCTTCAACTTTCCTGCTGTCAGCATCTGAGGAGAGCAGGCTTGATAATTTCTGTCCCAGATTGTTCTTGTTCCCTTGTAGCTTGACAGACCCTATGAACAACAGAAGGTATGAGAATGGTGGAAATACTTCAGAGAAAAACTGGTTTTGGATAAAATGAATGTGCATCTGACTGAACTCTGAACAATTTCCTCTAGAAGGGCACTGCAGGCTACAGCTTCTACTGTACATCTTAGGGAAGGTTATTAATATGCAGCACCACTCTTGCCATCACTTAAAAGCTAACTAGACCTTTCATCAGATATAACAGCAAATTGAAAATAAAAATTATTTATTTTTGCTATTGAAAAATATATCTTGCCTCTAGCTAAATAACAATTCATGGCAATGTGTTTGTAAGCATCTGGTAGCCTGATATGTTCAGTTTGTAGGATTTATCAAATGTTTAAAATACATCAAAATGATGAAACGCTTGTATCAAAACACAGAGCTTAGAATACACAAGGCACTCAGCGCTAGGCTGGACAGGACCCTAGGCAGCATTTCCAACCCAAACTATTCTGTTGATTCTATGATTCTGTGAAACAGTGATACTGATAAACGGGAAACAGATATTGGAGATATATCCTGTTTTAATATTATTTCCTGGAGGTGTCCAAGGAAACCAGAGGATCCACAGATCCATGCCTGACACATGCAGATCAATGGCTAGCAGAAACACATTTTGAAGTACATTCTATTTCTCACTTCTGCTATGGTTTTGACCATGACATAAGCACGTAAACAATTCTCATTATTTTTTTTCTCAACCAAGAAAAGGATAACAAAAAGTCTTTCTCTTTTCCAGAGGGATTGTAGATGACCATGCTAAGTAGTAGTAGAAAAATAAATTATTATTATTATTATTATTGTTGGTAATAATAATAATAATAAATAGTAATGCCAACACAAATAATGAAAAATTGAAGTACTTTAAAAAAAAAAACGCAAAACAAAAAACACAGAAAAAAAGTAGTATTCCAGTAAAAGCTCAGTACGTGTTTTTGCCTTTATCCTTCCTGATACAGGCTTCATTGAAAAATAAAAACAAAATGGTTGATAGCATCTTAAATGGCCAAGCTAACCTTTCCAAATGCTAGGTTTTTTGTGCTGTTTTTCTAACATCTTTAATATCTGCAATGTTATTGTTAATCTGGATAACAGATTATTTATTCTAAAAAAGGGCTACACTAAAAGCAGGATTAGTATCATCACTGTCCTATGGCCATCATGGTCATCTTTATATAATGACTACTGTAACAAGCCTCTTATACATGTCCATTCTACATAAGAAACTTCTGGTAGGAGTTTGTGAACTACCAGCTGCATTTCTTATGGTACGTATGGTTTTGACAGAAATTTGTTCCTTTTTTCTGAACTGTTCAGAAATCTGTCAGCCATTAGACCACAAACACACATCTGATGCAATAAAAATATCTGTCCATGCCCATCAGCTGACTTTTTTCTAGTCCACCATTACAGATACAGTTACCATCCTCTTTCAGTCGCCTCCAGTTTATAAATTTTGTTTCCTTTTTAATCTTTATCACTTCTGCAAGCCTCAGGGCTTGGTCCTTCCTGTGCATTAACTGCTGCTCAAATGCGATTCTGAAGGCATCTGCCATTATATAAGCTTCATCCTTACTCTTCATCAGAAGTTCAATCTGGTTTTAATTAAGAGAAAATTTACAGTATGTTAAGCAATTTGGAAGCAATAGCAGGTTTAAAATTTAAATTGAGACAAATTGAAGCCATTAGCACAGTTCAGCACTTTCATGTTACCAAGTCACCACAGCAGTTCCTAAGGCAGCCCTGTGCATGTCAAATGGATTGATTTCAATTAGGGAAGTAGAAACAGAACAGTGGCTTTCTTGCTACATAAAGAAATGTATTTTGAAGCATGTATTTAAATCCTTTTTTGCAGCTAACACCACCTATCCACTGCACTGGCTATGCTGCCAGCCAGCAAAAGAACAGTACTTCTATCAGGTATCATAACCCTGATACAGAAGAGATGTGAAAGTTCTATAGAGGTAGTTGCTGCCTTATGCCTGTCTGTGAGGTCTAAGATAATGTTTTTATTGATGAATTTTAATTGTGGTCAGCCCCAAAATAGTGACAGTTGGACTCAATCTTTGGAAGGCCCTTTCAGATGGAAGTGAACCTGTTCTATTCTATTCCACCTATTTTCAAAATCAGTATGTCAGTGGGACTTCTGCATTAGGACTGTGAGAAAGGTTACCACATTTGCAGGCTAAAACACTAACGAAAAGAAAAAAAACTTCTATCTAAAATTATATATTTACTAAATTAGAGACTTCATGAGCTTGAATATATTTTGTTGTATTAAGTGTGATGTAAATACATCATTTTTTGCAAGGTCAGCTCAATGCTAATGCCAGCACAAAGGAGGGATGGAAAGGGATGGAAAACCGTGCCAGGAAAGAGGGAAAAAGGAGCAATTTCTTTTTCAGTGACAATTCATACCCACATTGTAAATACTGTAATATTTACAGAGTGTATGCATTTTGAGTGTGCATATTTTCATAATAAAAAATGTAAGTAGAATGAAGTAAAACAAGAAAGATTTTTTTTTTTTAAACTAGCAAAACATTTTTACATCAGCAACAATTAGGACACCACAAGCAAACATTATTTCTGAGATGCATTCTTGTTATCAAACACACCAATTTGTGTAAGCCATGGGAGAGTGTTTAAGGCTTTACTTGTTTTTGTGCGAATTTGTTCTCTTGCCTTCACTCCTTGCTCATACCTAAATCAAACAGCATTACCTCTTGCTTGAGATGAAGAATTTGCTTCCGAGTGACAGCTGCCATTTTAGCACAGGGACAAGGCTGCCCCACAGAGGAATTGCAGGTGCAGGCTCCAAGAACTGCCAGCTTAAAATCCAAAACAAACCAGCAGTTATATATCTGCAAATGGAATGCAATCCAAGAGATGCCAAGTGACTAGCAAAAACATCCTGAAGCTGCAGAGGGAGTGTAGGAGTTAGGAAAATTTGGCTACAAAGATTTGGACATCAGTTTTTTTCACTAACAACGACACACATGATGTCTATTTTTCAGCACTAATTTCACATCTAATCCTAACACAGTACTTTTGTGATACTAATTATGCCAATTAACTAATCTGAATTCGGCACTACAAAGGCTTTAAGTTTTCTACTCAGCAGTTACTTACATGGAAATACTCAAGAAAATCAAGGCAGTAGAAGTAGTGTGCCTGTACAACATAGGAAGAGCCACAACTGCATTCCAGTAATTCTGCATGTAAACATAGCCCTGCAGACATTGCTCCCCTCTAACTTTTACTCTGAAGCTGAAGCAAAGAAATGAAGTCTTATACTGTGATCTTGCCAGACTGAGCACTTCCAGAAACATTACTAAATGCATCACATTATACAGCCTGCTTTTATATCACAAAGATATACGATTTGGAATACGGATTTCCAGATGACAAGGTGGGACACAAGGTCATCAGCAATTTCAAAAATCAGACTTCATACTTACTTCAAGACCTGTAATATCTGTGATGTCTCTTTTATTCATGGACATGTTCTCCTGAACAATCTTCTGTTTGTTCACATCAAGCATTACAAGAAATTCTAAGCGCTGCTGATTCAAGACTATGAAATAAATGAGGACAATAATTTAAAGTTTGTTCTTCTAATTTCTTAATTTCCGAGTTCAACTACAGCCAAAAAAAAAAAAAAAAAAAAAAAAAGAACCAAAAAAACAGTTCTATAGCTTAAGTATCAGGTATGATAATATGAGACTATGTAGATTTGGAAACTCAGATCCCAGTTGCTTTTCCTTGTGTGTTTTCCTAGAT